CCTAGGCAGGGGGTTGGACTAGAAGACCTCCAAGGTCCCTTCCAACTCTACTATTGTATTGTATTAATAGTAAAATAATAATAATAATTGTTAAGCAAGGAATACTGAACTGTGGTTAACAACGTGCTTGGGGAAATTAGTGTGTCCTCAGACACATCTCTTGGTGCCACCAAGTCTCTGCCACGCTGCAAACCAAAATAATCTAGCATAACCTATTCATTTATAAAAGATAATTTTTATCTTACTTATTTAGAAAATTTGCCACTCATCCAACATCTCAAATTTATTTATTTGCAAGAATGCAATGCAATGTTACAAAGCATCCAAGGGAGCCTAACTTGCCTTCTAATCAATAATTGTTCCATGGTTGACAATGCCCTCACCCCCCACCCTGAGGCTTTTGTGGATATGCAAACCTACATTGGGGAAATTGTGAGTGTGCTCACCCCACCTCTCAAGTTTCCAAATGTCACAACCCAAAAGATTGCATGCACTCAAAGGATATGCAGGGATAACAGAAGAAAACTTATCTCATTTCAGAAACCAGGATTCGGCATCTGATAAGCACTTAGAAATCTGAAACCATTTTCACACTTGGAAAAGTAATGTAGGCCAGCCTTAACCTTTGAATTAAACAGGATATGCTTCCAAGGAAGCAGTGGCTAATAGCCTTATATAAGCCTACTAAGTCAATTATAGTCACAATGTCTTTAGCAAAGAAATGTACACAATTTCAACTTAAAAAAAAATCTTTCACCTGATCAGTACGAAAATTAAAGATATGGAAGCTTACTAAGGCAAAGGCAGCTAATTAAGGGAATATCAGCTACAACTGTGATGAAGTCTACTCTTTGGGCCTATTCCCATCTGCCATTAAGACAACACAATCTTACTTGGATAGTACTAATTTTCCCTTTTGGTTCCACAACACAGTCCTTGTTCCATCCCTAGCCCACGAATGGCATGGCCATAGGTTTTTAGTAGCAATACTAATACAAAATTAGCATGCTACTTTTTAGCCCAGCATCATCTAACAATAACATCAAGGTGTGTAAAATCACTCATTTTTTCCAGAGGGAAAGTCAGCTGGCCCATTTCAAACATGATGCAAGAGATGGCTTGACAGTGTTGGAAGAGGAAGACATAACTCTTCCACTCTGGTCTCTAACCAGTCTTTATCAAAGCTATATTCTCCCAGCCTTTGCAACATTCAATGAATGCCCTTGATTTATATCATTGTACCACAAATGTGTGAATATGCATTAATAATTTAATTCAGCTTAAAGCAGTGGTAGTCAACCTGGTCCCTACTGCCCACTAGTGGGCGTTCCCGCTTTCATGGTGGGCGGTAGGGGTTTGCTGCAACTCTGCTTTATAAATTTTATAAAGTAAAGTTACTTCCCTACTGTGGAATTTTACTACTAACAGAGATACAAAAGTGGGCGGTAGGTATAAAAAGGTTAACTACCCCTGGAATAAAGGATGGGAAGCTTTTCACTCTTCCACATTAAAAAAATTTTCGAATGTATATTAACATAAAATGCATCCGCCCACATATTCCTTAGTACAGCACTTTGAGAATAGGGAAGCTGAACTAATCTTATCAATTTCAATCTCTTACCCCCTCCCAAGCTGGGAATAACAATAAGGCTGCCCAGAAGTTAATCAATTTTACTTCTCCTTTTCCCCAAGACCACAAGACTTGGGATGTGGGTAGGAGCAGATGAACAAGCTTAAGACTGGACAGAGCCAAACCTTGCTGCAAGTCTATATGACTGGCGGAAGTTTTTTCTGCTGGTTGGCAAAACCCTGAAAGGGGTTATTTATTATAATTATTTAAATTCATTGGCTATCCAACTCCAACAGACTCTGGGAAGCAAAGCTACATGAGAAAACCAATTCCTTTGCACATAATCAATGCACACGTAGACAAATCAGAACAAAACCATTCACCAGTTGAATCCAACGCCAGCATTTTACTAATTCAAGGATTCCCACTGTAATCCCACAGCTGTATGCACACACCTTGATGAAAAGTGTCCTAACCGCAAACGGCCTCCTCAGCAGTTTTTAAAAGCAACACTATGAAGAATGAAATTGGTGAATAACCAGAGTGTATAGGGAAGGAGGAAAAAAAAAAGCAGTTAATAAAGGCAGTTCCCCCTCTGTCCCACGGCTGCTTTTTCAAGAGGCAACTGAAGGCTTTGAAAAGTCTTCAAAGAAAACCCCCCAAAAGTCCAGTTGCCTTTGGGTCAACCATAACCTCAATGAGAATCTCCATAGACAGACAGTCCCCCTCTGAAAACCTCATTTCCACAAATGTGATGAGTTGCACCCCTTCCCTCCCCGCTTTTAAAGTAATAGGTGGGAAAGTAAAGACTTTCCTTTTAATTTCTTATTAAAGACTCAGTGCTTACTGACGGGAGCCAGACTGACCCTCCAGCGTCTAATATAAATACCACCGTAAACCCACCATGCAAGTTTATTTAGGAGGGGGATACCATGCAGCGCCCTTTACTTGGCATCAACAGGGTGCAAAGCGACGGGGAGCAGCTATTTTCCGCCCCACTTCATCCCTGTCTCTTAAACCCGAGAATAATTGAGCTGACAACGCGAGCCTCCTCCTCCCCCGCTTCCAGCCCCATACCACGCTATCTCCTCCCTACCGTTTGGGATGCTAGAAAAGAGGGACCGACGGTCACACGTTCAGCCCGAGCCTCTGCAGCTTCTCCATGAGCGTTTCCTACCGCCCCGCCTTTTTTCCCCCCAAGCCCCGCCTCTCCCCAAGCTCCTCCCGCCGAAGGGGAGGTGAGAGGTCAACGCCGGAAAAGGCTCCGGATGATGGCGGAAGAAGCGCCGCGAAGTCCTTCCAACGGGCGCAGACGCTTAGGTTCGTTTTCATTAAAAAAAAAAAATAACCACCACCGTCTATTACTCTTCCCCCCCCCATTCCCCGTTAGATGGGCTATTCCTTCCTACTTCCTTCGACTCAGTCCGCGGGACGATCAAACCATTCCGCAGCTCTGGAGGGGTGCGCTAGGGATTGGGATGGCAAAATGAGAGGAGGAGGAGGCGGTGTGCAGTGTTGCACTATAGTATGGGGAATCTCCCAAGAGATAGTATGGGGATCTCCAGGAGATAGTATGGGGATCTCCAGGAGATCTTACAATCACAACATCCAGATAATACTCCCAGGGTAGTGGTCGGAAAGAGATGCCTTTGGTTGGTCGGCTTGTTCTAATAATAATAACAATAACCTCGATCTTCCCAAATGCACTTCATTATTATACTTAACACTTATTATATTATACATTACATTATATGTGCACTTTCTTTAATAGCAGGATCTCATTTAGAGTAGGGGACAGCAAGCATACCTAATGCTCCTTGCTTCCTTACTTCCCCTAGAACAGAAGTGGGAAACGATGGCCCCTTTTATGACTTGTGAAGTTCAAGAATCCCAGAATTATGGCTGGCTCAGGAATTCTGGGAGTTGAAGTCCACAAGTCATAAACGTAAAGGGTAAAGGTTCCCCTTGCACATATGTGCTTGTCATTCCTGACTCTAATGGGTGATGCTCATCTCCGTTTCAAAGCTGAAGAGCCAGCACTGTCCGAAGACGTCTCCGTGGTCATGTGGCCAGCATGACTAAATGCCGAATAGCAATAGCAGTTAGCAATAGCAGTTAGC